GAGACAAATAGCGGGTATGGTTTATTTCTCAAATCAATACGCCGTACTTTAAAAGGCGTCAGATTAGGTAAAGTGTTTGGTAGGGGAAGTCGTTATGTAATTTGAATAGGCGTAAAATGTGTTTGTGTTTTGCAATGATATTCATTACGTGGGGAGACTGGCATATTTGGACGATCAGGTAACTGCAAATAATCTCCTCGATGTGGGGTCCGCCAAAACGCTCAATTGTATTCTCATGATGAATCAGTTAGCAGAAAGACAACCAGAAATTGATAGTTAGTTGTAATCCGCCGAGCTATCCTGTTGCTTGAGTTATGTGGCTACGGTTCCCGAGATGCTACGGACAATATTAACCGTCATTCGGAGGTGTGGTGCGGTCTGACAGATGTTCAGTATTATTTGCACAGCCCGGAAACAAAACAATTTGATCACTGCCGTTATGTAAACACACGACACGTTAAACCTCACTACCACGATACCTTAACTTACGGATTATAATTAAAGTATTTAACAAATTAAACATTGAACGTTATATTATTATCTTTTAAGTATTTAATTGAGGATATAATTTACAAGTTTATTTTATCTTGTTTAAATTCAATTTGTTCTTGTTCATTAATTTTGATTCCAAATGACTTTAAAATTCGTCAGGAGGTTTCATTGTAAAATTACTCAACGAAAGTAGTGCCGTTTCCTTAGCAAATTCGTAGTTATGTAAAAATCAGAATAAATACAAATAGATCGTATTAAGCTAGCTGTTTAACATGGTTCGTTTTACTGCACATTGACTCTTACAAACCCGTTGAGTTAATAATTATTTTTATTTTTCAAATGATTTTCAGAATGAATGAGTTACAATCACTGCAAAATCGCTTTTTGAATGGTTCACTTCGCCTATTTCAATTCTGATTCTGATTCAGAAATGAACACGTTAATCCACACATACAAAGTACATTTATATCTAGTAGTATTCAGAGGTGATACCGACCCTTGTCCGATTTTGCACATCGAGTAGCACTAAGAAAGACTGTCTCACTATAAGATCTTGTTATACACTGCAGGACAAATAAATATATACTTTTTAAAATTGGATTTGAAATTTGAATGTGATCCTCATCTTCCTTGAGATGTCATATGTACGTCACTTGTGGTGAGATACTCATCACCGTCAAATGACCATTTCGTGGTTGTTTTATGATGATTTTTAACCACTTTCAAACATCGGAGTATTCTTTCCTTTGAGGATACAAGTATAAAGGTATTTACATGGTTATATCTGGTGATAAAAATAAGCATATTATATTCTCAGTATATATACAAAGTCTAATTTATAAGTCTAGTTACAATGGAGCGAAGATCAACTTATAAACTCTTATTTACGACGTGTCATGTATAAGGTTAGCTACTCGTCAACTAGGGTCTACTTATCATCTCGTCGTTACGACGTGCCATGTATCAGGTTAGCTATATTTTACTAAGACCTACTTATCACCTCGTTGTTACGAAGTGGCATGTATAAGGTTAGCTACATTGGAACTAAGGTCTGCTTAACATCCCAATGTTACGAAGTGGCATGTATAAGGTAAGTTACATTGGAACTAAGGTCTGTTCAACATCCCAATGTTACGAAGTGGCATGTATAAGGTAAGTTACATTGGAACTAAGGTCTGTTCAACATCCCAATGTTACGAAGTGGCATGTATAAGGTAAGTTACATTGGAACTAAGGTCTGTTTAACATCCCAATGTTACGAATGCATGTATAAGGTTTGCTACATTGGAACTAAGGTCTGTTTAACATCCCGATGTTACGAATGGCATGTATAAGGTAAGCTACATTGGAACCAAGGTCTGTTTAATATCCCAGTGTTACGAAAGGCATGTATAAGGTTAGCTACATTGGAACTAAGGCCTGCTTAACATCCCAATGTTACGAAGTGGCATGTATAAGGTAAGCTACATTGGAACTAAGGTCTGTTCAACATCCCAATGTTACGAAGTGGCATGTATAAGGTAAGTTACATGGCCACTGTGGCGCAGTATACTGTGTAATATTACTGAGTGAGTGTAATGCATAAGGTGAACTGTGAACTACTTCCACGTTGTGCCCCACTGCAGTGTACGCATTTACCAGGTGAGCTGAGCTACTACACACTGCCCGCGATCATTTTATTTTATAAGACTTTGGGGCATGCATTTATACAATCACATGATAAACCATCCAATCTAGAATATGTGAAAACTTTCCAAACTTTAGTTGACATGCTAAGGTGCAGTGTCGAGTGTCTGTGTCTTGTCAGGTGAGCTACAGAGCCTCTGACACTAGACATATTCCATATTCTCAGGTCTCTAGGGTTCAGCATCCAAGCCTTATTAAATTGTCACTCTGCCAATGTCGCCATAAAATGGTTTTACCGACACATAAAATCTGTCAAAACTTCGCAGATATATTTATTCGTCCTCCAAGGGAGAGAGCAAGTTGTACTTTACCCACACGGTCACCGAGAAACTTGATCCAGATGAAAACTGGTCTCCTGTGTTGTCTGCCTATCAATCGGGATATTCTCCCTTTGTGACAAAAGCTTTTAGAAGCATTTATTTGATGCAGATTTGTGATTTTTTCATAAATATTCCAAACAGTTAGGCGCGTTTTGCGTTGTTAGATGAACAGGACTGCCCTAATAATGTGCGGATTGTCAACTTTTTACCTTTAAATTGTAACTTTGTGAGCACTTTCTGTGTGCCTGTCATAGGGCGTCATATTGACTTTTCATACGATATCTGGTTTAACAAGTTGAGGTGATTATTGCAGGATGGTTTTAACTCTCCAGACACAGGGCACATCTAGGATTTCACATTTAGAATGTATGCCTTCAGTAATATGTTACATCGGGTTTCATTACATAATGAAGTTAGTCGCCATTTGTTAAGTTACCTTGTTTCATAGGGATCTGTTTCGTCAACATGTTGCTGGTGTGAACCATTAATTGCGTGATTCAGAACTTTCAACATAAGACCCTAGGGGGGCACATTGCATTATGAACTTAGACTCACGGACACATCAGTCTAGACATGCCAGGGTGCATAACGTGGTGTTTTCGATAGGGCTGTGGGCTGGACAAGGCGTCTCTACGCGGGGCCCTCTCGCTGACTGTCCGTGTTCGATTACCCAAATGGACCCAACGTGTTAAGTCCGTTCATCGAGTCTCGAGTCGAGTAATGTATAGCCGAGTAGTAAAAGCTGGGTAACACCATACCAACGTTTCATGTTTCGTTCAAAATTTCAACAGTGGTTGTTGTGAGTTGTTCAGTGTGCAAAATAGCCACTGGCCCCCTAGCTCGTGGCTAGTAAAAGTCCAGTCGGGCCAGTAAATCTCCACAGTCATTGGCCGACTAGCTAGTGAATTTTCATGAGGTCATTTTGTAACTACATATTGTATATCACTCTCTCCGACTTGTTAAGCTATAATACACTTTTAAATCATGCAAGATTATGGCCTGATAAACATGTTCATCATATTGATGATGAAACCCGTGTGATGCAGACAATATCTTATTCTCATCTTTTGCTTTGTTACTACATTCAAATTTTGGGCTACTGAATTCTTTGTGGGCTAGTAACTTTCAGGCATAGCTAGCCCGACTGGCTAGCATAATTGAGAAACTATTTCGCACACTGGAGCTGTTACACAGAGAAATGCGTAGAGTGAAACCTCGTTCATCCGTAAGGCGTCATTCCGAATAAGATACATTGTCTGAATTAACGAGGTGATGTGGGGGAAATCCCAAAGTGATGATGTTTAGTTTAGAGGCTGATCACTGCTGAAACCGGGGAACACAGATGTTGTGATGTGTTATCATATTCAGTGCCAATCTAGAATTCGAACCCTCCATTTGCTAAATGTTAAGATAACACAGTTTAAGACATCTTATGTCTTTGTTTAAAATCACGTTTATATATCCGACAGAGTATTTTCTACGAAAATATTACCTTAGTTTGATTCTGTAGCTGTGGAGTGAGTGAGTTTAGTTTTACGCCGCTTTTAGCAATATTCCAGCAATATCACGGCGGGGGACCCCAGAAATGGGCATCACACATTGTACCCATGTGGGGAATCGAACCCAGGTCTTCAGCGTGACGAGCGAACGCTTTAACCGATAGACTACTCCAGCGCCCCCTGTAGCTGCGGAAATAAATATCAGGAATTTATATACAGACCATCGATATTTGGACTTTGCATACATTGTTGCAAATATCGAAAACGTGTACATTTGTAGGTGTGTTGAGTGGGTAGGCCTACTTTGAAGTTGTGTTATGTTCCACACCTGCATTTGAATTATTTTTTACCAGATTTCGCCCTTTCATATATACTGAGGGAAACAAATAGGGGATCACATGAAGGGACAAGTGTTCCTTTATTTTTTCCCAGGTGTCTTCAACAGCTTTGTATCATATAGCTTGTGAAGAAACCTGGAAAAAAATAACTTTAAAGGGAACACTTGTTCTTTCATGCGATCCCTTACTTTTTTCCCTCAGTATATTTAGGAGCACGGATGAAATAGTCGTCTAAGGCTTCATTGCTGTGCAGATTTGCATCCCTTTGCCACACCAGAAACTTATGTCAGTTTGTTCGAGTCACGGCTTGCCTTTATTAAGTGCTTAACCAAAACAGTAAGCGTGTACCACCAGCATCACCAGCATCACATACTTCGGGGTGGTAGGGTGGCCTAGTGGTTAAAGCGTTCGCTCGTCACGCCGAATACCCGGGTTCGATGTCCCACATGGGAACAATGCGTGAAGCCCATTTCTGGTGTCCCTCGCCGTGATATCGCTGGAATATTGCTAAAAGCGGCGCAGAACCATACTCACTCACTCACTCGGACATCCTGCCACAAGTTGGCTCGCCGTACTTTTACCTGAATACTAAGCGGCGTTAAACCCAACACACTCACTCACTCTTGGGTCATTTTGAATTGACGTGTCCTTTATGTTTGTTTCAGCTCCAGCAACAGTGGATATTTGTGTCGGCGAAGACCAGGCGTGTTGTGAAGCTACGGAGCTGTATCTACAACTGTTTGTTACAATTAAATCAGTCCTTGGTTTGTATGGCCCGTTGTTTTACTTCCGCAATGATGTTCTTTGGTTCCTGTTTGGTTCATAAGACGGGCTCAACACGAAGTTATAGATGGGTGTGCCCAGAATCTTTATCGGAATATAATTGATGAATCATACACAAGAATGGGCCAGCGACAGCTAGATATATTTGTAGTGACAACTCATTAACTCAAGCTGATACCAGTTGATATTCAATGAAACCCCGTTAATCTGGACAGGATCATTCGTCCTGATAAACAATTTCTATAAGAACCAAAGTAACTTTGATCTGTACACATGAAAGTGTTCGAGTATTCTCTACGAAAATATGACCTTAGTTTGATTCTGTAGCTGTGGAGTGAGCGAGTGAGTTTGATTTTAAGCCACTTTTAGCAATATGCCAGCAATATCATGGCAGGGGACACCAGAAATGGGCTTCACACATTGTACCCATGTAGGGAATCGAATCCGGGCCTTTGGTGTGACGAGCGAACGCTTTAACCACTAGGCTACCCCAGCGCCCCCTTCAGCCTCAGACGTATCCAAGCCCAAAAACCTGAAATTTTACTTTTTCATCAAACGAATGTATTTTTTATATCAATGAGTTTTCTTTCCCTTTTGACACTAATTGATTCAGGAAAAACATGGCAGATATGCGGATCTGGACTTTGGAATTCCACGTACACTTCTTCAACCTCCCCATTGTCCTCTGTGGCCTTGGTTTGGTACTTCCAGACCTCTTGGTGCAGATCAGGAGAGTGCCCGGGTTCTCTACCGGAGGCACATCCCTTTTGACACTCCGGGTAATGCAGAAGGCTCCCGTGTTGGGGAGTCTCCATATTCTCCGAAAGATTTTCGATAGATACGACACGGCATCGTGTCCTGAGAGAAGTCCCATTCGTTGTCTGGGCTGCCTATAAAGTAGGCAAGGGCTCTGAGCTGATGATGAGCCTAATCAGCCTGACGGTGCCAAGACCACCCGAATCCGCTTTGTTGCATTCATCTATTTAAATCTTTGAAAAGATGCTGAGAAAAATTATTGTTGATCCCATGCAATCGTGTCAGCGTTGTGTCTTCGTATCTCACAGATCACATATGTATCAATGAAATCTTACATAAAAATCCTGAAATACGCAATTGGTTTTATGTTCTTCATTTCGACGCATTTTCATACAACGAACTCTATCAGAATTTATTCAGTGATGAAACAAACAAGGTATCAGTAAATTAAATCACACCGAAATGGAAACATGCCTGATTGATATCTACATATTTCCTTTCGCACAAAGACGTGAAAGGAACGGAGTTGATCATTCCGCAATAGCTGAGTTGAAGATCCTTCAAATATTGACCTCAGTACCGGATTGTGTGTCATTCAATATTCGTACTCTCGACCATAAGGTTTAAGGCAGTGCTTGTGTATTTTCTCGTCTCCACCCTCTGAGGCAGCGGTCGGTTGGAAACAACTAAGTAAAACAGTTACTATAAAACGTGTAAATGCTTGGGCATTACGTGAACTATAATTCATATAGTTTAAAATGGTTCACATTATGAGTGAGTGAGTGAGTTTTATGCTGCTTTTAGCAATATTCCAGCAATATCACGGCAGGGGACCCTAGAAATGGGCTTCACACATTGTACCCATGTGGGGAATTGAACCAGGGTCTTCGGCGTGATGAGCGAACGCTTTAACCACGAGGCTACCCCACCGCCCTCACATTATGAAAGTTCGAGGAGTATTTAAGTCATATGCCAGTGTGTCAGGTTATTATGGGAGTAAATCCTGAAGTCATGCACGTTTTCGTAGTCAGGCATGGGTGTATTGAAACAAACGGAACAAAAACTTGTCATAAACATGTTTAACGGAAAAATATGTTGCATTTTCGTGATAAAATATAGCAAAAAGGATCCAAGAAACATGTTTTTCATCTATTTATCCCGTTCATTCACATATGTACTTACAACGCATGTTATTTGAGCTTAAATTATTATAACAATCCGTTAGAACAAGATATAACATCTCACGAACACGATTTCTGTCGACGTTCTGTAGACACCAGTCATTGTTAACAGGGATTTATCACCCACTGTATGTCCAAACAACCAATTCTAGAACCATAAACCTACCTAATCAACTTTTATGCCTCTCGAACAGAGAAACCCTAGAGGACAGTGGGCATCCTTGTCACAGACCTATCACCGTAGGCAAACACAAAACCAGAAATTGAATATCCGAAATATTCCCAGTTTCAATTATCCTCGTGTCTGCATGATATCCAATACGCATCAAATATAGCGTAAGACTGTCAAAGATTCATTATAACTCTATTTGCGCTATAACCATATCTTCATTATACCTCGACAATGGTCGTTTACAAACGCGCAGTATCTAAATCAGACGGCAGACTTCGTCTACCTTCTTCTGATGCCTTAAATAAATGTCATACCAAACACTGTTCCTACGTCTACCAGCTGCGGCAGTATATTCCTGACTTATCGGAAATTAGTTGGTTTACTATGTCGCCGAGTTTAGAATTGTCTTCGTCTGAGTGATATATATTTCCTTTGATGGCTCGTGTGAAAACGACAATGGTCTTTCGAAAGTAGGTTGCGCTTGGTTTTATATTCCAATAGCTTCATCCAGATACATCCTCAGGTGTTTCTTCCAATTGCGGTATTTAGGTTTTAGTTTCAAAGTAGGTTTCTTTCGATAATTAAATATGATATTAGAAATTCAAAAGGTTGATTAATTTTATATAAATGTCAGACACTGTACCTACTAAATCTCTAATTCGATAAAAGGTGAAATCAGCCATGCTTGATTTGATGATGGTTGTGTTGACTTATAAAAGATATGGGTGACTATTAGATAGAAAAAAGAGAACTGTGAACTCTTGGTATTACAGATTTTATTTTAAAACGCTTTGAAGTGAATAATCGTAAGTCAATTAATAATATAGTGATAATGATTATTTGCCCGTTTTCCGAATGCCCCGAACGTTTTTCTAATCATATATTACATTTCAATGTCGTCATACTTTAACTGTGCCGGGAGTAATTAATGTTATAGTATTGTTTATACAGGGTTTCTCAATATAAACTGCTAATGTGAGCGACAATGACCTGACCAGTGGTCATGGGAACTTTACAAAAAGAATTACATCATAGTAGCTGGAGACCCTATAGTCCGCCAAGTAGAAATACATCCATAATGTAGCATAATGCATAATTTGTTTTGACATGTTTTACTTTGGAAGGTGATAGGTATGACATCCAGTACCACACGTTGGTTGATGAACCAGTAGGTGATAATGTCAAACAGTAACACCAGTTGGTTGATGAACCAGTAGGTGATAATGTCATCCAGTACCACACGTTGGTTGATGAACCAGTAGGTGATAATGTCATGCAGTAACACCAGTTGGCTAATGAACTAGTAGGTGATAATGTCATCCAGTACCACACGTTGGTTGATGAACCAGTAGGTGATAATGCCATGTAGTAACACCAGTTGGTTGATGAACCAGTAGGTGATAATGTCATACAGTAACACCAGTTGGTTGATGAACCAGTAGGTGATAATGTCATGCAGTAACACCAGTTGGTTGATGAACCAGTAGGTGATAATGACATGCAGTAACACCAGTTGGTTGATGAACCAGTAGGTGATAATGACATGCAGTAACACCAGTTGGCTGATGAACCAGTAGGTGATAATGTCATGCAGTAACACCAGTTGGCTAATGAACCAGTAGGTGATAATGTCATGCAGTAACACCAGTTGGCTGATGAACCAGTAGGTGATAATTTTATGCAGTAACACCAGTTGGCTGATGAACCAGTAGGTGATAATGTCATACAGTAACACCAGTTGGCTGATGAACCAGTAGGTGATAATGTCATGCAGTAACACCAGTTGGTTGATGAACCAGTAGATGGCAGTGATACCACCCAGTAACACCAGTTGGTTGAGGAACCAGGAGAGGGCAGTGATATCATGCAGTAACACCAGTTGGTGGATGAACCAGTAGGTGATAATGTCATGCAGTAACACCAGTTGGTTGATGAACCAGTAGGTGATAATGTCATGCAGTAACACCAGTTGGCTGATGAACCAGTAGGTGATAATGTCATGCAGTAACACCAGTTGGTTGATGAACCAGTAGGTGATAATGCCATGCAGTAACACCAGTTGGTTGATGAACCAGTAGGTGATAACGTCATGCAGTAACACCAGTTGGTTGATGAACCAGTAGGTGATAATGTCATACAGTAACACCAGTTGGTTGATGAACCAGTAGGTGATAATGTCATGCAGTAACACCAGTTGGTTGATGAACCAGTAGGTGATAATGACATCCAGTACCACACGTTGGTTGATGAACCAGTAGGTGATAATGTCATACAGTAACTCCAGTTGGTTGATGAACCAGTAGGTGATAATGTCATACAGTAACACCAGTTGGTTGATGAACCAGTAGGTGATAATGTCATGCAGTAACACCAGTTGGTTGATGAACCAGTAGGTGGTAATGTCATGCAGTAACACCAGTTGGTTGATGAACCAGTAGGTGATAATGTCATGTAGTAACACCAGTTGGCTGATGAACCAGTAGGTGATAATGTCATGCAGTAACACCAGTTGGCTGATGAACCAGTAGGTGATAATGTCATGCAGTAACACCAGTTGGCTGATGAACCAGTAGGTGATAATGTCATGCAGTAACACCAGTTGGTTGATGAACCAGTAGGTGATAATGTCATGCAGTAACACCAGTTGGTTGAGGAACCAGGAGAGGGCAGTGATATCATCCAGTAACAATAGTTGGTGGATGAACCAGTAGATGGCAGTGATACCACCCAGTAACACCAGTTGGTTGACGAACCAGTAGATGGCAGTGATACCACCCAGTAACACCAATTGGTTTTATTAACCAGTAGATGGTAGTGATACCACCCAGTAACACCAGTTGGTTGACGAACCAGGAGAGGGCAGTGATATCATCCAGTAACACCAGTTGGTTGATGAACCAGTAGATGGCAGTGATACCACCCAGTAACACCAGCTGGTTGACGAACCAGTAGATGGCAGTGATACCACCCAGTAACACCAGTTGGTTGACGATCCAGTAGATGGCAGTGATACCACCCAGTAACACCAATTGGTTGATTAACCAGTAGATGGTAGTGATATCATCCAGTAACACCACTTAGTGGATGAACCAGTAGATGGCAGTGATACCACCCAGTAAGGCCAGTTTGTTGACGAACCAGTAGATGGCAATGATACCACCCAGTAACACCAGTTTGTGGACGAACCAGTAGATGGTAGTGATATCATCCAGTAACACCACTTAGTGGATGAACCAGTAGATGGCAGTGATATCATCCAGTAACACCACTTAGTGGATGAACCAGTAGAGGGCAGTGATACCGCCCAGTAACACCAGTTGGTTGACGAACCAAGAGTGGGCAATGATACCACCCAGTAAGACCAGTTGGTTGACGAACCAGTAGAGGGCAGTGATATCACCCAATAACACCAGTTGGTTGACGAATCAGTAGATGGTAGTGATATCACCCAGTAACACCAGTTGGTTGACGAACCAGCAGATGGCAGTGATACCACCCAGTAATACCAGTTGGTTGACGAACCAGTAGATGGTAGTGATATCATCCAGTAACGTTTAACACCGCGCTCAGTAATATTCTGAGCATCGATCTACGCAATTCGCGGTATACGATGACATGTGTCATGCAAGTCAGCGAGCCTGACCACTCGATCCCATTAGTCGCCCCTTACGACAGGCATGGGTTACTGAAGACCAATTCTAACCTGGATCTTCTCAGGTTGAACCAGTAAGTGATTTTTACGTCATCCAGCATCACCAGTAGGTTGATGTTGCCATGTAGTGTCACCAGTGGTTTCATGAAGAACTTATCATAACCATACAGTGTCACCAGCATGTTGAAAAATGGCTCAATGTTTCCACACAGTGTCACCAGCATGTTGAAGAATGGCTCAATGTTTCCACACAGTGTCACCAGCATGTTGAAGAATGGCTCAATGTTTCCACACAGTGTCACCAGCATGTTGAAAAATGGCTCAATGTTTCCACACAGTGTCACCAGCATGTTGAAGAATGGCTCAATGTTTCCACACAGTGTCACCAGCATATTGAAGAATGGCTCAATGTTTCCACACAGTGTCACCAGCATGTTGAAGAATGGCTCAATGTTTCCACACAGTGTCACCAGCATGTTGAAGAATGGCTCAATGTTTCCACACAGTGTCACCAGCATGTTGAAGAATGGCTCAATGTTTCCACACAGTGTCACCAGCATGTGGCTGTTTCCACAATGGCATGTTGAAGAATGGCTCAATGTTTCCACACAGTGTCACCAGCATGTTGAAGAATGGCTCAATGTTTCCACACAGTGTCACCAGCATGTTGAAGAATGGCTCAATGTTTCCACACAGTGTCACCAGCATGTTGAAGAATGGCTCAATGTTTCCACACAGTGTCACCAGCATGTTGAAGAATGGCTCAATGTTTCCACACAGTGTCACCAGCATGTTGAAGAATGGCTCAATGTTTCCACACAGTGTCACCAGCATGTTGAAGAATGGCTCAATGTTTCCACACATGTTGTTGAAGAATGGCTCAATGTTTCCACACAGTGTCACCAGCATGTTGAAGAATGGCTCAATGTTTCCACACAGTGTCACCAGCATGTTGAAGAATGGCTCAATGTTTCCACACAGTGTCACCAGCATGTTGAAGAATGGCTCAATGTTTCCACACAGTGTCACCAGCATGTTGAAGAATGGCTTAATGTTTCCACACAGTGTCACCAGCATGTTGAAGAATGGCTTAATGTTTCCACACAGTGTCACCAGCATGTTGAAGAATGGCTCAATGTTTCCACACAGTGTCACCGGCATGTTGAAGAACGACTCAATGTTTCCACACAGTGTCACCAGCATGTTGAAGAATGGCTCAATGTTTCAACACAGTGTCACCAGCATGTTGAAGAATGGCTCAATGTTTCCACACAGTGTCACCAGCATGTTGAAAAATGGCTCAATGTTTCCACACAGTGTCACCAGCATGTTGAAGAATGACTCAATGTTTCAACACAGTGTCGCCAGCGTGTTGAAGAATGGCTCAATGTTTCCACACAGTGTCACCAGCGTGTACCACACGCTCTGCTTAAAACAAAAAATTCAAATTCAACCCTGAAACATAAATGGCAATCCCCTAAAATGACCTGCGTTAGCGCAAGTTACAGCTTTGTATGAGCACCAGCCGTCGTTCTTTAGGATGATACTGTATGCAATCGTCATTTACATTCCACGCTGCTCTGGGGCGGTGGGGCAGCCTGGTGAATAAAGTGTTCGCTTGTCACACAGAAGGTTCGAGTCCCCACATAGAGTAAAAGTGAAGCCCGTTTCTTGTGTTCCATACAGTGATTGCTGGAACATTGCGGCGTAAAGCTATATTCACTCACTGTGAAGTGCTCTAACCGTTAAAACCTTTGTTACATCGAAGGTTCGGGTTCTAATCCCTACAATATGTTGTGTCCACGAATCACCTATAACCATGACTAAATATATGCAAAATATTGCATAAAACCCCGCTCTTACACTTCAATTGCTTGAAGAGCTAAAGAGTTTTATTTAATCCTCGTGCCCTTAAAAACATATTTCTTTAATGTACGATATGTGGTTCTTTGGCATCAATGACGTACTGAGTTTCCAGCAAAGTGCTTCCGTACAGAGTATGTCAGCACAGCCAAAACATAGGTTTCTTTACAACGGCATTGCCAGAGAGAGTGTAAATGTCATTGCCCGGCTTGTTGGCACCCATGGGTACACGTTCCCAGTGTTCCAGATATAAGAACAGTCTCAACTACACAGAACCGTTTTACAAAGAAACCTTGTAATTCAGCATGGATGGTAATGTCGCTATTGAGAAGAAAACATGTTACCTAAAGGTTGGCGCAAAACACATCTGGAAATAAAAAAGAAAGTTTTCAGACAAAAACCTGCAAGGCCTCTTGACATTTGAGAAACCGTTCTTTATGGTATAACGATCTCAAGATGATGTCGCAGTACTGAAGAAGGATAACCCCTCTGTTCAAAGAACCTTTACACGCCGTAGAATTCGAAGACGCTGCCGGTTGCCATGAGCTGAACGAAATCAACAACAGAGCATGCTGATAACAAACATGACATCTTTTTCTGATCAGGAGTCGATGGATTCTCGCCGAATCTGACCTCACTGCGCATGCGTCGACCTTGAGGTGTCATAACTATGCATTAGGTCACGCTGACACGAAGCGCATATGTGCCTATACTTTGTTTCTCATTACGATAAAAGATCACCTTTGAAAAACTCCACCAGGGCACGATCCATTTCATAAAGAATGTGGTAGCAAAGTGCAACTGCATATATGCGATGTAGGGCAACACTGGAGCATGTAATTATGCGTAGGTTGGCGTACATAATTCGACTGGTGTCAATGTTAGCTGCTATGCTGATTACAGTTCTGTAAGTCTCCTGGAATAAAGGTGCGGCGGGAAGATGTTTAACGTTGCGTTGGAGACTGGTAAACGTACATAGCGATGTGAGTGGTTGTATTTTTCCATTTGTCTGTCGGGGCCTAGATTTTCGAAGCTCTCTTAGCGCTAAGATAGTCGTAAGTTAATGTTAATGTATGGCACTTACGACTATCTTAGCGCTAAGAGAGCTCCGAAGATCTTACCTCAGTTTTCTAGTGCGAACCCACTGGGTTAACATGCTGGGGGCCGTTTCACAAAGCGATCGTAGCCCTACGCCTGTCGTAAGTCTATGTTAAAGTATGGGAGTTACGATCACCTTTGCGCTACGATTGCTTTGTGAAACTGGGCCTTGTAGATTAAAATGGATACCCCGCTCAGATACTATATACTGATTCCGAACCCACCACGGTACTTGTATAAAGCGATCTTAGTGCTAAGGTGATAGTGACGATCTCACCTTAAAAAAGACTTACGACAGTCGTGGCGCCAAGATTATTTCCTGAAACAGCAGCCAGTCTTTGTAAACCATAATGCCAAGCTTGGAGCGGTAACCTCACTTATGCCACGACTGGGGATTGAACCACCGACCCTCCTCTACCCGGGCGGACTCTGTCCACTTGACCACGTGCACAGTCTTTCAGAACAGAATAACGTATTAATAAGTAATCCATATCACGTGTTTATTTAATAACGCGAGATGTCTTTCCTTAATCAATCGAATCTTTTAATACCGTCTTGATTGTTGAAATGAATAAGTCAGTAAATTTGGGCCCAACGAATTTCGGCCTCCAAATTATTTACTGCACAGGTATTATTCCCTTCAACGAATGGCCCTTCGATAAAATATAATGTACATGTAGCTACAGTGAACTTTAAAGGTTTAACCCTTGTCTACCAGTGCATACTAGGCACTGCTCCGGCCTATCTCAAAGAACTGTTCAAACCATATCTTCCATGCAGACAGCTTCGCTCCAGTGACAAAAACTTACTTCACATTCAAAAATGGAAGTTGAAATCCTATGGTTTTCGTTCCTTTCAAGTGGCGGCCGCGATGAACTGGAATCAGCTACCAGCTCACCTTAGAACAAGCCCAACAGTCACATGTTTCAAAGCAAACCTAAAGACATACCTTTCCCTATGTTTTACAAGTGACTCCTAAATTCTATCTTGTTTGCGCTATGAGCATGCTGTCGGTGTGGATTTTGCGCAATACAAATGGACTAATTATTAATTATTATGTCGTTATGTAAGTGCTATAATCTTCAGCACGACATTAAAAATAATTCCATCTCAATATAATATTCCAATAATGATTCAGAAAAGGAGCCACGCTACTGTACTCTCCATCACAATTCAATATCTCAAGCTACCTTCAGCGTTACCATAACAGGCATCCCACAACATCACCATATAGGATTCGAACCGTGTATTAAGTTTAACGAAAGAACGCATTTACTACTTGGCCCTCAATCATTCTTTTTCTTGCTACAAATCACATTCGTATCTAACCGATATTTCTTCGGAAGGGCAAATCCTTTTCGGAATGCCACGTACATGACTTGTGCTAAACAGAGGATATTCCAGAAAGCTCAAAGAATAAAGGTCACTGCTTAAAACAGATATGCTATTGTTTTAATAGATGGGGTCAGTGACAAATTAAATTGTTGCCATTGCTGGCCAATCTGTGCTCTGATGCGGGTTGCCTCATTGTTATAGGGACCCGTGAAGATCCGGGTTAGAATTTGGTCTTCACCAACCCATGCTTGTCGTAAGAGGCGATTAATGGATCGGGTGGTCAAGGCTCGCTGAAGTGATTGCCACATGACATCGCCACTATAAAGCTAGAATATTGCTGAATAGAGCGTTAGACAACAAACAACAAATCATTGTTTTTAGGATTCGCTGATCTGGAATTCGCGCATGTCATATGCTGTCTGGTGAACTAGGATCATAGCATTGTCCATGGGTTCCAGCCGACAGGCGTAACCTGTGTCACATTTAGTATTGAAGGTTCGGCTTTCTTCAAGACATCCCAGAATGTCCAAGGAACAATCGATATAATATTTCTTATATTTTTGTGTGTGTTTTGTTTCTTTCCTTTTTGTGTTTTGTTTGATTTTGTTTAATATATATAGTTCAATCACGACTCACCAACAACTGTTCCCATATAAACAGATAATGCAAACCATGTGTACGAACTAAGCTTACATTACATAAATATTACAAACACACATCTTCATACAAAATCACGTTTAATTGGCATAAATTCCATTCATAAAATCGTATTAACCAATGAGCCAAGTTGTCTGTATAAAGACGTTCCAAGCAATGACTTCGAAAAGCGGAGAATTCGGACAAACAGAGTTCCACTCTACATACCGCTTCACTGAACAATATTCCAACTAAAGTGTTTCTGCCTGTAAACAGATGAATCGGGACCAGACAAACCCGTGACTGATATTATGAACACCTAAGGGGTACGTAGACACGTACTCCACCATCTAAGCTAGTCAGACCACCCGATCTATTACGTGAGTGAGTGAGTGAATTTTACAATAGAATACAATTTTAGCAGTATAACGGCGGGGGACACCAGAAATGGGCTTCACACTTTGTACGCATGTGGGGAATCTAACCCAGGCCTTCGGCGTGACGAGCGAACGTTTTAACCACTAATCTACCCCACCGCCCCGATCCATTAAGTCTTCAGATATCAGAAAGATGAGAATAAACTTTC